TTTTTTCCCTTTATTGAGGCAACTTTGGCTTACAACAGTTGATATTAGGGGAGTAGGTTTACATGTTCTCAGATATATGTTTGTACCTCTCTCCCCCTGCCCAAGCACCCCCAGTCCTTTACCCGAGACCCTTGTGTCCCCTCCCTTCTGTGTTCCCATGCCCTCCCTTTCTCTCTAGTAACTTCAATTCTGTAGCCACAAGCAAGGTTATGGAGACAACTTAAATGGCCATTAGGTTGCTTAAGAGGGTATGGTGTATATACACACAATGGAATACTACTCAGCTATAAAAAAGATATAAGCGCTTGCCATTGTGACTACTTGAATGGAGCTAGAGTGGATGAGGCTAAGCAAAAAAAGTCAGTATGGGAAAGATAAATACTGCATGATTTCACCAATTAGTGGACTATGGAAAAACACAACACTAAGGATTAGAAAAAACTGAACTAAAGCAAATCTCACTGTAGAAAACTTATGGATAGTAGAGGGGGAGGTTAGGGAGTAGGAAGCAAAGGGCTAAAGAGCTCAATGTACTAAAGAGGAAGATGATAGGGTGGTGGGTATGGTGTGGTAACACGTATCTGAGGAGGTGCCAACCTATACTCAAATCATAGTGTTATGAACCAATGTGACTTAAATAAAAACGTACAATGAAAAAAAAAAGTATAAGCTCATGATACTCTTCTGTGAACATGCCAAAACATTTCTCCCCTAAAGAAGTCAACAGATTTATAGCTAATTCACAAGAGAAACCTCAGGACATCAGAAGGTGTAGTTGGTGGGGAACTGAGGGGTGGATGCCAGTGGCAGCAACCGTAGTTCATTATCATGCGAAGGGGAACCCTGAAGCTTTCTGGTGGCTGTGCACGTGCCTCGTTGGGTGTGCACCGCACAAAGGCTGAGTGAGATGAGCCAGACAGCTCTGAATGTGGCAGTGCTTTCGTTTGGAGCACATTCTCTGGAGTGACTGTTCAAGTCCAGGAGAAAAGCCAAAACCCCTCAAAAGTGGGTGGTCCAATTATGTGGTAGACTAGATTCCTACCATCCTACCATGGTCCTTTCTTTTTTTCATTTTTTTAATTTAAGATTTTATTTCTTTATGCATCCAGAACTGGGGTACAGGCCAGAAGTGCAGGGTCGGTGAGAGGATTCGCCAGAATAGAGGAGGGAGCAGAACAGGGAGATCAACAAAGTACACTGCTGAGGGGAGCAGCCAGCGGGTCAGGAGGGGTCTGCTGTGCCTTGTGGGTCAGCTCTCGGGAGGGGATCGAACTCACACTGAAGCGGCCACAGCTTGGCTTAGCCCAATCTACCATGGTCCTTTCTAAGCAGTCCCGGTCAGGGAGGGGTTCAGGGGCCGCCATGACATCACAAAGCCTGAGTTGTCACAAAGGCAGCCGCTGGCCAATGAGGAGGCTGAGAGTCCAGTGGGCAACAACAAGCATTAGACCTTGGAGAGACCCTGCTGGACAGTTGCGCCCTGCAGACCCGGGCCAGACCCATCACCATCATGCCCGGGAGAAGGCACCGCCACTTCCGGAGGACCCGGCGGCGGTCCATCTCCCGCTCCACGCGCGCGGAGCTGCACTTCCCAGTCAGCCGCGTGGACCGCCTGCTGCGCGAGGGCCACTACGCGCACCGCCTCAGCTCTGCCACACCCGTGTTCCTGGCCGGCGTGCTGGAGTACCTGACGTCCAACATCCTGGAGCTGGCCAGCGAGGAGGCACAGAGCCACCACCGGATGCGCATCACGCCGGAGCACGTGGAGAAGGCCGTGGACAACGACCAGCAGCTCAGCCTCCTCTTTGAAGACGACACCCACCTGGAGATGCCCCCGCATCACGGGAAGTGAGTGCCCGGGTCAGTGCCTGTCCCATCCAGGCAGGACCAAAGACTCAGCCTCGTCTTGTGCCCTTGTGACCCACCGGGAAGGGTGGCCTGGTCTTCTATGGTTAACTCATCTTATTAAAGTGTTTAATTCAGAAGGAAGTGTGCAAGCAGGTGTCTACTTTCGTGCTGATGAGGCTTCAAATTCACAAAAATGCCATGTAAAGTATCAAAACGAAGACATGTATTTGATCATGTCTTTAAGATAAACATTTAGACGTGGACTTCGATTGGGAATTCAAAGGAAATAGATAATGGTTTCTATGTATGTGATAAGTATGTGTATATACAGTGTGATGTGTGTGTATATGCATGTGTGGGGTATAGGTGTATATGTATTTGTACGTGTGTGCATGTGTGTGATCATGTGTGTGAAGCCCATGATAAACTGTTCTACTATGTTCAAGTTGGCAGTTTCACCTAGAGGATAGGTGGAAAAGTGACTGTTCATTTCTGGACAGCAGCATAAGGCGAGTCTGCTTGGGCCTCTTGACAGTGTTAACTTCACCTGGAAAGCTGTTAATGAGGTAGTTTTTTCCTGTCTCTGGTCTGGGTGTCGCTATCTGGAACCTGAGGACCATGTGGAAATCAGCCAAGGAACAGAGGCTGGCACCTGCATTGGGCACTTCTAAGAGGGAAGGAAACTAAGTTCTTGTTGATGTTAAGAAGCCAATGAACCCTGGACTCACAGTTCCTCCAAATTTTATGATTTACTCACTAAATGTTTTTTAGCCGAGAGCAAGATTCTCAAGTGTGAGCTCCGGAGAGGTCCCTGAGATCCTGTCAGAGAGTTGTTGTTCTTCTTTTTAAGTTCATTCATGCATACAAGAACTGGGTTGCAGGCCAGAGGTGCGGGGTTGGGGAGTGGGTGGTACTGGGGAAAGTGGGAGGATTCACCAGAGAGAGAGTGGGGAGGAGAACAGGCAGATCAACCGAAATACACTGCTGAGGGGAGCAGCCGGCAGCAGGTGAGACAGGTCTGCTGCGCCATGTGGGTCACCTCCTTGGCCCTGGATGGAATTCGTGCTGCAGTGGCTGCAGAGAGCTTCACAGTGCTGTGCTTTAATCTGCTGCACCATCAGGGAGGGCCCTCAGAGACTTCTTATATTCAAAGTTATGTGCAGAATCAAGCTGAGTGCTCTGACTCATTCTTTCAGAGGATAGACTGTGGAGTTTTCCAGAAGCTATGTGATGAATAACTACAACAAATCAAACACGAAGGTGGTAGGAAAATCAGCTTCCTTCTGTGTGCCACACACTGAGAGATTTGCGAAAATGTAAATGATACCACTTCATCAATACCATTTTTTAAATTGTTTTGGAAAATAACAATAATTTTAAATAGAAATATCCATGAGATAATAGGTATCTTTTACAGTGAATGAATGTATGTTTTTAATGTTTCAATTTTTTTTTGGCATAGTAAACACTGACAGAAATCAAAGACCAAAGTTTCTTTAGATCTTCAAAAATTTTGAAGAAGGTAAGGGATTCAGGACCACATATTTTAGACCTGGTGGTGCAAACCAGTGTGGCTTCACAGCTTCTGGCTGTGAGTGAGGCTTATTCACCTGAACGATGGTTATTCTTGGTGAGGAAGGAGGCAGCGCTGGTGGCTGCAATCTGTTTCTTTGGCTCATAGTTTTCGAATTTTAATTTATCCTTAAATTTAATTTTAATTTAGCCTTAAGGTTAATCAGGTCAGAAATGTCCCTATGATGTAAAATAGTTACACATTTGTTTCTCTTTCTGTATCTTTGCTTTGGCTAATACTTTTGCTTGGAATACAGACATTCAATCCACACTTTTTTTTTTTTTTTTTTTTCTGTATCTTTGCTTTGGCTAATACTTTTGCTTGGAATACAGACATTCAATCCACACTTTTTTTTGTTTTTTTTTGTTTTTTTTTACTGCACATTCTCTTGAATTAACTCCTTAGTTCTTTCTACCTTCCTCCCTCACCCCCTCCCCCCTTTCAATTTGTTTTTCATACCTTGTTTTCTCCTGGTCCTTTTTATCAGGATTCAGGGGGGATTGCTCCCACTTCTTTTTTTACTGATACGGCGACCACCGAGATGAGCTGTCATTCCCTACACGACGCTCTTTCTTTCTGTATCTTTGCTTTGGCTAATACTTTTGCTTGGAATACAGACATTCAATCCACACTTTTTTTTGTTTTTTTTTTTTTTTTTTTACTGCACATTCTCTTGAATTAACTCCTCAGTTCTTTCTACCTTCCTCCCTCACCCCATCCCCCCTTTCAATTTGTTTTTCATACCTTGTTTTCTCCTGGTCCTTTTTATCAGGATTCAGGGGGGATTGCTCCCACTTCTTAATATTGATTTCAGGCGGCATCAAATCTGTGCCAGTTGAGCTGTCATTCCTCTGTGTGGCTTAGTGTTCTCGAAACCTGTGTCATGTCCTCCGTGTCTCTCTGCCTACAGCTTTTTTTTCCTTCTGTTCCCTGGATATTGCCCTTTCCTTTTTATGGGTACACTCTCATTGTATTTCAGAGTACCCCACTTGTGGTCCCATCGGTGCGTTGGGTACTTCACTGTACATGGCTACCCCAGGGGACCCTCGTCCTCTCACCCACCCTTCCCCTCATAGTGTGGCTGAGCAGGGAAAACGCTATTCAGCTGAGTGGGCAGAGTGGCTGCCTTTCTCCCATGTCTTACTGGCCTTCCATTTACAGCTGGCGTGGGGGCAAGCTCTTGCTCCCCTCGACTCTGCATGGAGCCCACGGGGCATTTGCTTCTGTCCTGCCTGACTGTTCTCCTCTGTCTCCCTAGGACAGTCCCCCCCGACTTCGGGCCAGGCACGAGCCCACAGCCTTAGAGCCTACTTGACAGGTCGCCTCCAGGTGTCACCGCCCCGAATGTTCCGTGGGGCTCACTTTCTTTGCCTTCTTTTTTTTGTTTTATTTTGTTAATGTTTTAATGTGGGCTTTAAAGAAGATATCAAGGAAGGAGAGGGAAGAGCCTGAAAGGGGACTGGAAAGACGCTCGCAGACTGAGGAGCAAGGCAGAGGGATCAGAGTGACGGCCTGGCCCCCTCTGTGGCACAGTCCAGGGAGTGAGGGGGCCTGGGGAGCATCTTGGCACAACTGCAATGTCCCGACACCAGCTGCGTCCCTGGACTCCTGCAGCACCGCAGAGGGGCCTGGGAGATGGCTGCTGGCAGTTTCTGTTTAGATTGTTTTGCCTCCTCAGCAATTTTGATGCTGTTTCTTGCTCCTCCCTCCTCCTTTCCTCCACCCACCATTTCTTGCTTTTCCCACTTCCTCTTTTTACTTCCCTTAGCTGCTCCTTTTCTTCCTCCTACCACCTCCTCTTGCTCCGCCCACCTCCCCATTTGTTCCTCCCACCACCTCCTCTTGCTCCTCCCACCACCTCCTCTTGCTCCGCCCACCTCCCCTCTTGCTCCGCCCACCTCCCCTCTTGCTCCTCCCAAAACCTCCTCTTGCTCCTCCTACTTCCTCCTCTTGCTCCTCCCACCACCTCCTCTTGCTCCGCCCACCTCCTCCTCTTGCTCCTATTGAAGTCCTTGAGGCATAGAGTGTCTACAAGACAGCCTCAACATCACTCAGCAAGTAAGTAGTGAGGCCGAGGCGCAACTACTTCAGCATGCACAATGAACCTGCATTATCTTTCTACTTCCTGGCAAAGTTCAATTCATTCCATCCAATATCTACAGAAGCACAGTGGCTGGAGAGCTAGGGGGCATGGGTGGGTTGATGAACTCAGTAGTAACTCAGGTCCCTCACAGCCTTTTCTCTGTTCCCTGTGTTATTGTGAATACCTCTAAAATATCACCTTGTATTTTGTGCGGGTTATGTTTCAGAGAATCACGACTGAGTCTAAGTTTTGTGCCCTGTCCCTGACACTGTTTGTGTAGAGTGAGCTCTCTACTGACATTGCCTGAGTCTAGCTGTGACTCTAGTTAGAAGCATGACCTTTGGCAAGTTACTTACCCCCTCGAAGGCTCAAAATGCGCACACATGAAATGAAGAAAATAATATTGATACGTGATGTGATCAATGTAAAGCATTTAATATGTTCAGTAAATATTATCATTACCTGTGACTCAGGAGCGTTTCTAATGGATTTAGTAATGATGAAGCGCTGTTTTAAGCTGGAAAATTTATTCCATATCTTGTAGCGGTGATATTGGCAGTGCCTGGAGAATTAGGGCTGCCGAAACGAAGCCAGACTCTTGCTTTCCACAGAACCACTAAATGAATTAAAAGTACCTGTGTTGGTGTCTGATGCCACCTTCCTGCAGGGGAGCTGCTCATGAGCTGGGGAGACCCGGGCCATGCAGGGAAGGAGTGAGGTGACCTGGGTTTTCATAGGCACTTGTTCCCGGGACTCATGGGGCCAGTTGCTGAACCTCCCCAGCATCGCCTTTCTGGTCCCAGACATGGACAGGATACCCCTGCAGGAATGAGCTAACTCCATGTGCCAGTGCCGGGTGGGACCGATAGGCACTTGATTCCCTTTCTATGTAATCACAAGAAGGGGAAGCATTAAGTCTTGAAAAATACTTGAATAACACCAAAAGAGATCTAGTAAGTCAAATCAATTGCAGTTTTTATTTTTAAAAGTCTTATTTCTCAACTATCAAGCTATTTTTATAAAGTTAAAGTTACTGACATTTTAAAAAAAGATTTATTTTGTTTATTTATGCAGCTCTATTTATTTAGAGCTGTGTGCAGGCCAGAGGTACAGGGGGGTGAGAGGATTCCTCAAAGGCCGAGTGGGGAGCAGAACAGGTAGATCCACTGAAACCCACTACTGAGGGGAGCAGCGGGGAGACAGGAGAGGTCTGCTGTGCCATGTGGGTCGGCTCCCTGGCCGGGGATGGAGCTCATGCTACAGTGGCTGCTGGCAGCTTCATCGTACTGAGACATAACCCCTTGAACCACCAGGGAGGCCCCTAAATTTACTAATGCTTCATATAACA